CCAGGTGCCCCCACCCCCTGCTTTTTTAATCTGTTTTTTGTTACAGAGCCCCAACTGAGAACCTAGAAGGATAGAAAGAAAAAAGATTTTTCTTTCTCTATAATAACATACAAATAAGCTAAAGGTAAGATGGCACAATGTTAAGAGCTGTTGAATCAGGTTGGTGGGTATATAGCTGGGTGCTATAGTAATCCTTCAACTTTATTGTCTGTATGAAATTGTTCATAATAAAAGTGGGGGAAATTACTAAATGGGGCAGATAAGATGATGAACTAATCTAGACTGATAGTGGTAGCTCCTTCCGCCAAAACCTGAAGATGCCTCAGAAGTGAAAGTCTGATATTTGTTTTAAAATAATTCAGGGGTTGGGGCGCCTGGGTGGCTCAGTCATTAGGCGTCTGCCTTCGGCTCAGGTCATGATCCTGGGGTCCTGGGATCGAGCCCCGCATCGGGCTCCCTGCTCCGCTGGAAGCCTGCTTCTCCCTCTCCCACTCCCCCTGCTTGTGTTCCCTCTCTCGTGTTCTGTCAAATAAATAAAATCTTTAAAAAATAATAATAATAATTCAGGGGTGCCTGGGTGGCTCAGTCGCGTTAAGCGTCTGCCTTCGGCTCAGGTCATGATCCAGGGGTCCTGGGATTGAGTCCCACATTAGGCTCCTTGCTCAGTGGGGAGCCTGCTTCTCCCTCTGCCTGCCGCTCCCCCTGCTTGTGCGCTCTCTCTGACATATAAATAAAAATCTTAAAAAAAAATAATCTAATAATCCAGCAGACCAGCAGTGTGGGGTGGGGATGTAGGAAATAATCGTGGCCTTGAAGTGATGATCATGGGTGCTGGGTGATGGAAATGGCATCCTTGCACTTTTGTTTGCTTGAAATTTTCTACTTAACAGCAACAAAGAAGAAGGAGGAGGAGGAGAAACAGGAGTGAAAAGAGGTTGAGTATTTGAGAAACTAAAGTAAAAACTGAGAAATCCATGAGGAGGCTGGTTGGGACCAGTTGTGGGGACTGTGATGGCAGCCAGAGGGGAAGAGGATCAGGTGCCTGAGTAGGGGTGAGGCTGAGGGAGAGTTTTCAGTTGTGCTCCCCAGTGCCCCGCCCCTCCCTACCCCCACTCCTCAGGGCCCTGAGTGGATAGTTACATGCCTCATTGCTGTGTACGAGGCAGGAAGCCAGCAGCATCGTCCAGTACTCCATCCTGGCTAGGTAGGGCTAGACCAGTGGACCTTAAACATTACTTCTCTACCTCCTTCTCCATATCTTAGGGTCTGGACTTCAGCCTTTCCCTGCCAAGTTCACTGACATCTCCAAAGTAATACGAACTCAAAGGGGAACACATTTGCAATAAAAGAAAAACAAACTGAGAAACTGCTAATCAATGAGGCCAACTTACTCGACCTGAGTTTAAAGTAAGCTTAATAAATATGCTCAACAGATAAGGGAGGACATTGTTAACATAAGGCAGGAACAAACAGGAAGAATCAGTTGGAAATACTAGTTATGAAAACTTTTTTTTTTTTTTAAAGATTTTATTTGTTTGACAGAGAGATAGAGAGAGAACACAAGTAGGCAGAGGGAGAGGGAGAAGCAGGCTCCCCGCAGAGCAGGGAGCCCGATGCGGGACTCGATCCCAGGACGCCGGGATCATGACCTGAGCCGAAGGCAGCCGCTTAACCGACTGAGCCACCCAGGCGCCCTAGTTATGAAAACTTTAACAGTTGAGGGCCTCCTGGGTGCTCAGTCGTTAAGCATCTGCCTTCAGCTCAGGTCATGATCCCAGAGTCCTGGGATCAAGCCCCACATCGAGTCCCACATCGGGCTCCCTGCTCCGCGGGAGGACTGCTTCTCCCTCTCCCACTCCCCCTGCTTGTGTTCTCTCTCGCTATGTCTCTCTCTGTCAAATAAATAAAATCTTAAAAAACAGAGAGAGAGAAAACTTTAATAGTTGAAATCCATACATGGACTGAAGAGCAGAATGGTTACAGCCAAAATGAAACAATGAGCAACAACATCAGGATGAGGATTCACCCCAAAGGCATTGGGAAATGATGCAGAAAACAAGGAAGATTGAAAACAAATGAGCCAGTTGTTTGTGACACACACTGTTGGTGGCTAATCTAACAGCTATTCCCAGCTTCCTTACTCATGTCTACATTAGAGCCTGGAAGAACTAATTAACTCGCTTTCCTAGATTCCCATGCAATGAGAGCTGGCCATGTGACACAGTCCTGGCCAATGAGATGTAAGCAGGAATGTTCTGGGGGCTTCTGGGCGGGATATGTTGTTTTCTAATAGAAGGGAATGAAATGACATCGACGATGGTTTGCTCGTAACATATCCTCTTTTTTTCTTGCCGTGGACATGGCTATTCTGTTTGGAGTTGTGTCAGCTGCCTTGTGATCATGAAGTAGGTTGATAATCATGAGATCAAAAACCCAACACACTCAGGACAGCCACGTAGGAGAGAAGAGCCCCAGGGTTCTTGGAGGCTGAGCAGTTGAATCAAAGTCAGCAACCACCTCCATCAAGACCCCTTGTGTAAATACAAAACCAAACAAAGCAAAACAAAACCCACCTGTTTAAGCCATCTTTATTCATGTTTTCTTTAACCTGCAGCTGAAAACATTCCTGATACTTTGTTCAATAATTTGGGAAAGAGCTACAAAGTTGAGATTCAAAAAAATAAGAGAGGGAGAAAAAGGCAGAAATCTGTGAAAAAGAGATTTAAAAAAGAATTTAAAAAAATTTAGTTGTTTAGAGGGCTGCTTGGCTGGCAGAAATTGAAATGATAAAAAATCTTTCATCTCCAAAGCACAAAGCTAAAGTAGATACAGATAAATTCTCCCAAACTTTCCAGGAGTAATTAACTCCTAATTTATACCAGTAGTTTCAGCCATCTGGAGCAACATAAAACTGGATCCATAACTGACACCATACACCAGAATAAATCTCAAGCCAAAAACAGTGGTTTAAGGCACCTGGGTGGCTCAGTTGGTTAAGTGTCTGGCTCTTGATTTCATCTCATGATCTCAGGGTTGTGAGATCGAGCCACATGGGGCTCCATGCTGGGTGTGGAGCCTGCTTAAGATTCTCTCTTTCTTGCTCTACCCCTCCATCCCCTAAAAAAGCAAAACAAAAAACCCCCCAGTGATTTAAATGTGAAAAAAAGAAACTACATGAAGCAGTAGCAGAAAATATGACTGAATTTCTTAAATAGTATGTATGAAGAAAGCTTTTTAAACTATGACTTGAAATCTAGAAGAAAAGAAGATTGACAAACACAAAAAACACTTTTGGTTGGCAAAAATGAAAACTAGGAGAAATTATTAACAATTTACATGGCAGATAAAGGACAAATACCTTTAATACATAACAAGCTCTTTAAAATATTAAAATTAAGGGAAGCATTTCCTTTCTGTGATGCATGACTGAGAGATGGTAGTGCAGGTTTCCAAGAAAAATTGAGGGGGTAAGAGAAAGAGTGAAAACCCAACAGAAAAACGGGCAAAAAGACTTAAATAGGAAATATATGTACAAAATAGATCCACAAATGACCTTAAACATATGAAAACATACCCGGCTTCATTTATAAAAAAGAGAAATACAGATTAAAACTATACTGAGATGCCATTTTAGATGGGTAGAAATTTTAAAACTTGACAATATCCTGTTAGCAAATCTGTGGAGAAACAGATATATCCTCATACATTGCTAGAGGAAGCACACATTGTATAAAATGAAATTTTGGCAATATCTAACCCCAACATTTACGATTCTCACAGAGAAAATAAACTTCATACATTTAAGAAGTGTTTTTCATTTACCTTTGCATTAGTACTTAAAATATACATTTCTATTTCAAGGTAACATTTAAAAATTAACCTAATACAGGGGCGCCTGGGTGGCTCAGTTGTTAAGCGTCTGCCTTCGGCTCAGGTCATGATCCCAGAGTCCTGGAATCAAGCGCCGCATCTGGCTCCCTGCTCCGCGGGGAAGCCTGCTTCTCCCTCTCCCACTCCCCCTGCTTGTGTTCCCTCTCTTGCTCTCTCTCTGTCATAGAAATAAATAAAATCTTTATTTTTTTTAAAAGATTTTATTTATTTATTTGAGAGAGAGAGAATGAGAGACAGAGAGCATGAGAAGGAGGAGGGTCAGAGGGAGAAGCAGACTCCCTGCCGAGCAGGGAGCCCGATGCGGGACTCGATCCCGGGACTCCAGGATCATGACCTGAGCCGAAGGCAGTCGCTTAACCAACTGAGCCACCCAGGCGCCCTAAATAAAATATTTAAAAAAATTAATCTAGGGGCGCCTGGGTGGCTCAGTCGTTAAGCATCTGCCTTCGGCTCAGGTCATGATCCCAGGGTCCTGGGATTGAGCCCCTGCATCGGGCTCTCTGCTCCGCTGGAAGCCTGCTGCTCCCTCTCCCACTCCCCCTGCTTGTGTTCCTGCTATTGCTATCTTTCTCTGTCAAATAAATAAATAAAATCTTAAAAAAAAATTAATCTAATACAACAGCAGCATAAATATAACTCTGCAATTACAAAAAAAATGCTAAACTGGGATCCATAGATAAGTTATTCTCATGTTCACAAGTATGATTCTGAAATAAATACTACTTGTAAGCAGCTGTTATCGGCTTTTTAGGTTTGGTTTAAATACACATATTTTCAGTTGTGGGGAAGCTTATATTATATTCCATGCACTGTCCTGAAAGGGTTAAGAGCCAACCAGCCCTAAAAACTGCGGTACTCAATCAGTCTGCAAAATAGGCAGAAAAAAAAGTTAAATTAAACAGGATTCCTACATAACTTCAAAAGCAACTAGAGTACTTCAGGATTGGCAAATTGTCCTCTTTATAACTGATTTTATCAGAAGGGTTTAAGAAGAAGCATATTATAGCACTATCGAGTACATTTAAAAGTGACATGTTTCTTTTGTGCTAATTTGACTCCCCTGAATGACCTAGCTAGTTAACTGGTCACTAGTAATTTGGTTACCAGGTAATTCAAGCCCGCAAGAAAGGAAGCCAAAATTTAAATTACTGTGTTATTGTCTGACCCATTCAGATGATTTATTTTCAATATAAACATACAAACTCAATATGAGATGCCTAACTAAAGCAAGCACCACCAACAAAACCAAGACAACTTCTCTTCTTCTAAGGTTTAGGCTTTGCCCAGAATTCCTTATACACGGAATGGCTTGCACCAAGGGTCATTGCTCCCATGACAAAGCCTTGGGCTGCCACACGCATGTGGATCAGGTGAACAGACATTTTCGTATTTCCCCTGCTCTTCAATTTATATAATCCATATGCAACGATTGCTGCAAACCCCGCCATTCCAATGGAAACAAAGGGTGCCTCTCTAGCTTTCCAGGTAAGTTTAGATCCCTGATCTTCGTCATGTGAAGAAAGAGAAACATCCGTGCCGGTTGATATAGCGGCTGCAGAATCCTCCTACAATTACAGGACTTAGGCTCCAACTCAGCATGTGACTCTTGATCTCAGGGTTGTGAGTTCAAGCCCCAGGTTGGACGTAGAGATTACTTAAAAAAAAAAAAAAAAAGATACAGACCCACAAATATGGAAAAAAACATATGCACAAGTTATTAGATGTAGTATTATTTTTTTATTATTTTTTTAAAAGATTTTATTTATTTATTTGACAGAGAGAGACACAGCGAGAGAGGGAACACAAGCAGTGGGAGTGGGAGAGGGAGAAGCAGGCTCCCCGCGGAGCAGGGAGCCCGATGTGGGGCTCGATCCCAGGACGCTGGGACCATGACCTGAACCGAAGACAGACGCTTAACGACTGAGCCACCCAGGCGCCCTGTTTTTAAGGAAGAGACTTGTGTCAGAACTTTTCCTGAAACAAAAACAGAGTGAAGTTGCTTTGTTGTGGTGTTCACTATATTCCCAAAGGAGAATGTGGTTGGAGGGTGAGCTGGCTATTTCCTTCCCTCTCCTCTCCCTCCTCCCTTTTTTTCCAGCTGGGAGAAAACGGAGCCTCCCGGGTCTGCAGGGACGACCCAGGGAGAGAGGAGAGTAGATGCCCCCGAAGGGGCCGCCGGTGGAAGCCCGCAGGCTACAGGGGCTTGGAGGTGGCTCACGAGCCCTAGGACGAGGGCCAGCTGCTGGGGGCTCCGGTTTTTTTGGGGGGGTGGGGGGTGGGTAGTTAGGGGGAATGGCTTCCGCCTTCTCAGACGAATCTGTGGCGAGGTCGTCTGCTAGGGGAGCGGGGGAAGGTGCGGGAAGGTTTCGCGAGAGAAGAAGGTATAGGGCGGGGGCCTCGGGCGTGGGGAAGCCGAGCCGACGAGGGACGTGTCAAGTAGGAGTGGGGCTTTCATCGGAGGGGCGGCTCAGCTGCTCCGGGGGACAGAGATGCTGAGAGGGTGGAAGGCTGGGGCTTCGCCGGCTGCGGAGAGGTAGGGGAGGCTGGAGGGCTGGAGCGCCGCCCGGGGGGGCCCAGCTCCGCGGCCCGTCACCACGGTGGGGTTTACGCGCACGCCTCCGCCCACCTGTCGCCGGAGTGACAGTCGGAGTCCGGGGCCTCCCTCGCACCCAAGGTGGACCACCATCCTCGCCACCCCCCCCCCCCCGCACCGTTTAATTCCAGTCTCCTGGACCTTCTTCCCTCGGTCCCCTGACCGGCTCCTTCCCTTCGGCGAGATGCTAACCTTAAAGGGGGGGGGGGGGGAGCGGAGGGCTAGCCTTCGATCTCCCGCCTTTCCAGAAACGGACTGTTGGTCTCTCTGATTTTTCAGGGCCAGCCTTCTCAGGAGAGTTGCCCGCACCGCCCGCCCGCTTCCTGACCTCCGCTCCCCGCCAGCTCCCCGCAGCCCGGCTGCCGCCGCGCCCCCCTCCCTGGAAACCGCTCTGGCCAGGTCCCCGGCAACTGCGGCGCCGCTGAAGCCCACGGGCCTGGCCGCCCCATCTCCCGCATTGGACACAACTGGCCACCCCCTTCCTGAAACGTCTTTCCTGCCCTTGGTTTCGGTTTGGTTCACGCTCCTGGTTTTCCGCCAAGCCTTCCTAATTAATTGCACCTGCTCCTGCCGAGGGGCTCCTGTAGGCTACTGTTTTTTGTTTTAGATTTTATTTATTTGTTTGAGAGAGAGAAAAAGAGAGCGAGCGAGCAAGTGGAGGGGCAGATGGAGAAGGAGAAACAGACCCACTGCTGAGCAAGGAGCCCAATGCAGGACTCGATCCCAGGACGCTGGGATCTTGACCTGAACGGAAGGCGGACGCTTAAACCGACTGAGCCACCCAGGCGCCCCCTGCCACTGTTTTTTAGGGATCTCTCCGAGTGGTTTGCCTCTCCTCACCTTGCACTCGTTCCTTGGGCAGTCTGAGCCATCATTTATTTCTCTCTGGCTTTACTGCTTCGTGTCCTAAGTTGTCTCTCAACTTCTTGCTCGCTATAATCTCCAAATCTGAGCCGGAGCAGCGGCTGTTCAGTGGTTCTCAATTTAGCCTGCATCGGAATCACCCGAGGATTGTTAACCCAGACACTTGGGTCCCCCTTCCCCCCCGTGACTCTGTAGGCCTGCGGTGAGGGCTGATCATTTGCATTTCTAACAAGTACCCAGGTATATTTTCTAGAGTTCTATAACAAAGCACCACAGACGGGGTGGTTTAAACCACAGAAATGAATTGTCTCACAGTTCTGGAAGCCTCAACTAATTACACCTGGTGACCCTATTTCCAAATAAAGTCACATTCTGAGATACTGGGAATAAAGACTTCAACAAATGAATTTGGGGAGGCACAATTCAACTCATAACACCAATAACACCAGGTGATGCTGATGCTGCTTCAAACCACTAATCTGATCCTATTGTCCTTTAAAAAGTTTCAATTGCTCCCCATTGCCCTCATGGTAAGTGGAAGCTCTTTGCTTGGCATTGAAGGCCCATCAAAATCTGGGCCACTTGGGCGCCTGGGTGGCTCAGTTGGTTAAGCGACTGCCTTCGGCTCAGGTCATGATCCTGGAGTCCCGGGATCGAGTCCCGCATCGGGCTCCCTGCTGGGCAGGGAGTCTGCTTCTCCCTCTGACCCTCCCCCCGTCTCATGTGTTCTCTCTCTCTCAAATAAATAAAATCTTTAAAAAAAAAAAAAATCTGGGCCACTTGCCCTTTCACTACCCCTGCTTATGGTGCTGCCCCGAATGCCCTCACCACCCTACTTTGATGAATCCTTTCATGCTTGGCCCATGTGTCATTCTGTTGTCAGTGCTCACCACACGTTCCTAAGGCCCAGCACAGAGTTTGACACAATGTTCAATATATTTTTGTTGAATGAATGCAAGAAGACAATTATTTTCAAGACTTAAAAAAGTTCAATTTTAATTTTTATTCAAGATAAATTTTACCTTGGAGTGTCAATTATAAAACAAAATGAAAACAACAAAAAAAAATGAAACTGTTTGGACCAGGCGTCTATGTCCCTGCAAATCTGGCTTCTGCCCTGCCCTCTGGTGGTGACTCTAGGCCTAGCAGGAAAACGAACTAAGGAATTTACGGCAACCGGAGGCTGGTGACTAAGCTTCATTTACATACCCACAATGCATTGCACATGGTATTTCTTTTTCTAAAAACGGCTAGATTTTTCTTTTTCTTTCAACTCCCCCCCACCCCGAAATCAGATTGCCATCACAGAATTGCCTGAGATAAAGGCAGAAGTCACTGGCTCTTTTGGCTAAGTAACTACCATTGCTGTTCTAGGAGTGATAGTTACCCGTGGGCTGTGTGAGCGGCGTACAAAGCATACTCTGGTTTCTCTTCAGATCGTATAAATCTTTCGCCTTTTACTAAAGATTTCCGTGGAGAGGAACAATTCTGAGTGTTTACCTAATTTTTTGAGGCCTTGCGCTTGCAGGGCTTACTAACGTGTATTATAATGACAGACCTTGTTTGAATTTACTGTAGAACTTCTATGTTTGTGTGTTAGAAACACGTGTTTACGTTTTCGTTTTTATGTTGTAGGGTCTATAGAAAAAAAATTACGATAGGTTTCTAACTCAGATTAGGTGTTCTGATAGGATGAGTTTTTAGCGGGTTGGTTGGTGTGAGATTCAGTTCTTTCTGCGTGATTGGCTTTTGAAACAATGACGGTTTCACTGATTTTTGTTACTGTAACTATCTATCACGTTTGGTTGATACAAATTTAGAAGTATTTTGTGGCGGCCTCGCTGAAATACTTTTCGTGATTCACCACCACTTATCTTTGCTTTTGGATTGTGTCAGGAGCCAGTGGTCCAAACTGGTCTGTTTGGGACCTGCAGAGTCAGGTGCTCTTGCATCTCTGTTAACCCAGTTCCACGTGGTTTTACTCTAGGATCTCTGCGTTTTCTTACGGGGGTTTTCTCACACATCCCCGCTGCAGTGCAGATTTCTGTCCCACGCGCATTTTAAGTAAACTGCCATTTTCACCTGACTAGCCCAGCGCCTGCAACAAAGCCGATTTATTGAGTAGGTAACTTGAAGAACGAATTGGTTGCATGGGTCTACCTACTGCTTAAAGGGTCTATCTGTACTTTTAGCCACGAGGAAGGTCGCTCATGGTGGATTGCGTTACATCACTCCTTATTAGGCTTTTAGAAAAATGATGTCTCAGGCGTGGCTTGGATTGTGCCGCTGTGGAGTTTATGTTGGAGAGGCGATGCTGACCCCCGAGGGGGCAGGGGATGAAAGCCCTCACCCTGGAGGACGGAAAAGGAAGGAGCCATCTTGGGGAGGGGTGCCCACTGCAGCCTTACCCTCCAACAATGGCACCGTTGTAAGAAATTCAAGTACATTAGCAGAGGTGGCTGATACAGTTCATCCCGCAGCCTTTGAATTTGCTACGCTCACAGGTTGGAGGCCACCAAGCATTAACTTAAATTGCCTCCTGCGCCTGGCATGGGGCACAGAGCAGTCGCGCAACAGATGTTTGCTATCAACAGAATATTCGGTAACCTGTTTTTGTTGAGGCCTTGAATAAAACTTTTATTTTTTTTTTAAAGATTTTTATTTATTTGAGAGAGAGCGTGAGGGGAGGAGGGTCAGAGGGAGAAGTAGACTCCCCGCTGAGCAGGGAGCCCTGCGCGGGACTCGATCCGGAGACTCCAGGATCATAACCTGAGCCAAAGGCAGTCGCCCAACCAACTGAGCCACCCAGGCGCCCTAAAACTTTTAAGTTCTGCTTTTTTTCTTTTTTTAAAGATTTTATTTATTTGACAGCACAAGCAAGGGGAGGGGCAGGCAGAGGGAGGGGGAGAAACAGATTCCCCGCTGAGCAAGGAGCCTCAGCTGGGGGCATTATCCAAGGACGCTGGGATTATGACCTGAGCCAAACGCAGACACCCAACCGACTGAGCTACTCGGGTGCCCCTGAATAAAACTTTCAAAGTTCAAGCTTGGGGGGGTACCCGGGTGGCTCAGTCGGTTAAGCCTCCTATTCTTGGTTTCTGTTCAGGTCCTGATGTCAGGATCCTGGGATGGAGCTCCCCATCTGGCCCTGTGCTCAGTGGGGAGTCTGCTTCTCTGCCTCTCTCTGCCCCTCCCCTGCTCATGCACCGTCTCTAAAATAAATCTAAAGAAATCTTTTATTTTTTTATTTTCTAAAAGATTTTATTTGACAGAGAGACACAGTGAAAGAGGGAACACAAGCAGGGGGAGCTGGAGAGGGAGAAGCAGGCTTCCCGCTGAGCAGGGAGCCTGACACTGGCTAGATCCCAGGATGCTGGGATCATAACCTGAGCCATAGGCAGACCCTTAATGACTGAGCCACCCAGGTGCCCCCAAAATAAATCTTTTTAAAAAAAAGGGAAAGAAAACAGAAGGTACATTTTGGGGACAGTTGTGGAAATTTTAGTATGCACTCTATTTTATTTTATTTTATTTTATTTATTTATTTATTTATTTATTTATTTTAAGATTTTATTTACTTATTTGACAGAGAGAGACACAGCGAGAGAGGGAACACAAGCAGGGGGAGTAGGAGAGGGAGAAGCAGGCTTCCCGTGGAGCAAGGAGCCCGATGCGGGGCTCGATCCCAGGACCCTGGGATCATGACCTGAGCTGAAGGCAGATGCTTAACGACTGAGCCACCCAGGCGCCCCTGCACTCTATTTTAGATATTAATTATAGGTTTTGTTGTTGCTGTAACAAGTTAACTACAAACTTTGTGATTTAACACAAATTTATTCTCTTACAGTTCTGGAGGTCAGCAGTCTAAAATCAAGGTGTTGGCTGGGCTGCCTTTCTTTTAGAGACTTTAGAGACTGTTTCCTTGCCTCTTTCAGCTTCTAGAAGCTGCCTGTATGTGACCCCTTCACATCACTCCAACTCTTCTGCTTCTGTCATCTCCTAGTTCTAACTCTGGATCCTCCTGCCTCCCTCTATATTTATAAGGACTCTTGTGATTATCTCGGGTCCACCTGGCTAACCCAGAATAATCTCCCCATCTCAAGACCCTTAATTTAATCACGCCCACAAAATTCTTTTTACCATGTAACATATTCACAGGTTCCAGGCATAGGATGTAGACCTATTTGGGGACCATTACTCAGACCACCAAAATAATGATACTGTAAATTATGTAGGAGAATGCCCTTATTCTTAGAAGAAACATAATGTGAATATTTAGTGGTGAAATGTAATCTCCACTCTGAATGTGGAACTTGAACTCAGGACCATGAGATCAAGAGTTGCAAGCTCTATCAACTGAGCCAGCCCAGGTGCCTCAATAACCGAAACTTTCCAATGGCTCAGGAAACACAGAGAGAGAAAGCAAAAGAGTGATAGGTATACAGGTATTCATTGTATTTTTAAAGATTTTATCTATGAGAGAGAGAGAGAGAGAGAGAGAGAGAGGCAGAGGGAGAAGCAGGCTCCCTGAGGAGCAGGGAGCCCGATGCAGGACTCAATCCCAGGACCCCAGGATCGTGACCTGAGCCAAAGGCAGACACCCAACCATCTGAGCCACCCAGGTGCCCTATTCACTGTATTTTTCTTTCAACTTTTTTGTAGCTTTGAACTTGTAAGAAGTGGGGGAAGTATGTATTAATAAATTCCATGTAACGTGTATGATTTACATATTTATATTATACTTAAGATTCAATTTTAAAAGTTCCATTGTTTTTATTAAACTATGGTCACCTTAGACTAGTGGCTTCCAGATTTTTGGATTTTCCGATTATTAAAATTTCAAAAAATTTCTGGGGTACCTTTTTACCATCATCCTGCAAACAAAGGCCATCTGAAGACTAAAAACAGACACTTCTTTAAAACAGAAAACCCACTTACCTTTAAAGACGGCCTTCGATTAACAATATCAGGGCCGGTGATGCCCTCTTGTGGCCACCTGGAGACTTACTGCTACCTATCATTTCCTCTGATTTGATGGACAATTTCCTGTCATTAACACGTGAATGCCAGGCACTGTTCTCAGTGTTGGGATGTATTAGTAAAGAACAAAAATACCCTGACCTAGTTGAGCTTATATACAGGTGGAGAGACAGACCATATACAAATAAAGTAATAAGTGTTGTGGGAAAAAAAATAGCATAAGGGGCTTGGGGACCAGAATATAGGGAGTGGTAATGTAGTAGCCCTCATTGAGAAGATGACTTTTGTATAGAGTTGCAAGGAGGTGAGGGAGTTCACCATGTAGCTATATAGCTGAGGTGAAAGTTTCTAAGAACCATATAGCTATGCTATCCAGTGAAGGAGAAAGAGAGGAGACAGTTCAGAGGTCATGGGAGACTAGATTGTCTACGGTCTTCCCTGCAGGCCATAGGAAAGGCTTTAGCTTTACTGTTCCTGAAATGGAGAGCTCTGCAAGGTTTTGAGCAGTAACAGAATCTAAGTTTAAAAGGATTACCCTGGGGGGCGCCTGGGTGGCTCAGTTGGTTAGGCGACTGCCTTCGGCTCAGGTCATGATCCTGGAGTCCCGGGATCGAGTCCCGCATCGGGCTCCCTGCTCGGCAGGGAGTCTGCTTCTCCCTCTGACCCTCCCCCCTCTCATGCTCTCTCTCTCTCATTCTCTCTCTCAAATAAATAAAAAAAATCTTTAAAAAAAAAAAAAAAAGGATTACCCTGGGGGCGCCTGCGTGGCTCAGTTGGTTAAGCGTCTGCCTTCAGCTCAGGTCATGATCCCAGGGTCCTGGGATCAAGCCCCACATGGGACTCCCTGCTCAGTGGGGAGCCTGCTTCTCCCTCTGCCTCTGCCCCTCCCCTTGCTTGTGCTCTCTCGCTCTCAGTCAAATAAATAAATAAAATCTAAAAAAAAAAAAAAAGAGACTACCCTGGCTACTGTATTGAAAAGAGAACGGGGTAGAAAGGCCTCTAGAGTAGTCTAACAATGGTGGAGAAACAAAGCAGGAAAAACAATGGCTCAGATTAGGGTATTAGCAACAGAGGTAGTGAGATATGGCTGGATTCTGGATATACTTGGAAGGTAGAGTCAACAGACAGAATGGATACAGATGTTGAAGAGAGACATTAAGGAGAACACTCCTTTGTTCTGAGTGGCAGAAAGCATGAGTTGCCATCAGTTGTGTTGGGGAAGGTGGCACAGATCAGAAGTCCAGTTTTGGACATAAAGAGGTGAAAATATTTAACTGGAAATAGGAATGTGGGAGTCAATGGCGTATAAATGGCATTTAAAGTTCTGAGACTGGATGAGATCACCAGGGTGAAAAAGTAGAGAAGAGGCTCAAGGTCACTCCAATTTGAAAGAAGCTGGGTTGAGAGGATGAATCAGCAAAAGAGAATGAGAGGAAGCAACCAGAGGTAGGAGAAAAAGCAGGTGAGTGTGGTCTCCTGGAGGAGAGAGTGCAGGGGCCAGTAGGGAGCGGAGGTGAGGGTCTCTCCTCAGGCTGTGCTCTTAAATCTTCCAGGATATTGACGTTCCTTCCCTCCAGACCAGCTTTTTTCCTGGATGAGCAGAGGAACCCCAGCCCATCAACAAAGCTCTCATTTAATTCCCCCGCCCCGCTACAGAGAACAGACATATAGCAAGACTATTTATTGAATTCTTGCCAGCCAGCAGCTCTCCCTCTCCCCTCCTGGCAGGCCCAACCCTCAGCCTCCCACCTGGGCCAGTGGAGTCACCGTGAGCGTGACCCCAGGATCCTTCAGCCAGGCTTCCTGAAACACAGCCCGGGCCTTTCTGGATTGCCTCAGAGGCTCTGTTACTCCTCTCCCTCCACATCCTCCTTCGGGAAGTATGTGATGTAAGCCAGCTGATCCTGGTCCTGGGCGTCAAGGTAAAAGGTCGTGTTGCTGTGGGGGACGCCACCGAGGTATAATGCTGGAGGCAGGGGAGGCGAGCCTGAGTCTGGGTGCCGCTGCACCTCGGCTCCAGGCCCCCTCACTCCCCACTCACCTTTGGAAACGTCGACTTTGTTGGCCGCCAAGATGTCCGCCTGAATGCCGTCTATTTTCATGTACAAGTCCTCGGCATTGCTCTGGGGGCAGGAGCAAGGGGAACGTGCTGAGCCGCCAGGGCAGTCTGGACCTGCACGCGGGCGCGGGGCGCAGGAATGCGGCCGGCTCCGGGGCTGACCGGAAGCGCAGGACAGGGACCCGCAGGACGCGGGGCAGGGGTGGGGGGAGGAACCCGAGCCAGCGCAGTCCCTCCCGCAGCGGCCCCGGGCCCAGCGTGCGTGGGGGGTGTGGCCCGGGGGGGACGCCGTGGAGGCCGCACCGTCCGGTCGCGGTCCCGGCTCTGCGGGGCGGGGCGGGGGCACTTACGAGGAAGAGCGTGTAGAGCTCCTCTCCCATGGACCTGCGCACGTGCTCCTCCACCACCGGGAACACCTGCACGAAGTACTGCAGCCGCGGGGGGCGGCGGGGTGACTGCGGTGCCCTCGCCCGGGGCCCGCCGCGCCGCGCCGCCGTCCCGCCGCTCACCTCCAGCGTGAGGCTGGCCTGCCGCTGGCTGTTGCTGTGGTCCGAGTTGCCCATGGCGGCCAACAGGCTGTGCACCACGCGCAGGTGCAGCATCTCCTCGGCGATGGTCGTGTTGCTGCGCGCCAGGACCCTGGGCCGGGAATTCGGGCGGCGGCGACCCCTTGGGATCCTCCGGCGGCCCGAGCTGCCCCCCCCACAACCCCGGAACCCGCGGGCAGCGCCAGCCTGGCTCGCCGCATCCCCCCCACTCCTCCTGCCCGCTTACCCGATGGCCTTGGCCGCCGCGGCCTGCTGTAAGAACACCGGCAGGTGGGCGGTGAGCTGGGGAACCAAGGAGTCTGGCGGAGGGGGCGGCCGTGAGGTGGGAGGCCCGGCTTCCCAAGGCCAGTCCCCTGTCCCGCAGCCCCAGTCCGAGCGGCTCCCTACCGTTGAGGATCTTGGGTTGCAGTTTGCTCGTCTCCTTGACGGACGGTATCAGCAGCTCCACGAGGCCTTTGAGCAGCGCCTGGCACACGTCATAGTTGACCAGGTCCTTGATCAGCTCGATGGCTGGGGAACGACAGAGGCACTGGGGAGGCCTGACGCTCCAAAACCCCCCATCCCCACCAAGCAAGCAAAGACCCCCTTAAACCAAGTCGCTTCCCTTTACCCCCATCCCCTTCCTGCTCCTTTCCTAGCACCTTTTACTCGCCAGCACCGTGCAAGCTATGTGTGGGGGAAGCTGGGCAGGCAACACCTCAGTCCGGCTGGATCTGGGGCTAAAGAGGAGGAGGAGGGGGCCAAGCCTCATCCGCCACACTCAGCCCTCACAGAACTCGCCATAGAGGGAGGAGGAAAGGTTGGATGGTGAGCCTACCCATCAAGGAGGCTTTGAGGCTGTCAGAGCTGGAGGCCCCACCGAGGTGGGGCCACCTTCGGCTTGGAGGAATCCGGGAATCCGGGTGTCACGGAGGTGGGAGGGGCTAGGTCTTCAAAGGGAGAAAGGATGGGCAAAGCCCCCCGGCGTGGGGGGGTGGGGGTGAGAGGGAGACAGCGAGTGGGTGGAGGATGTGTGGCAGCAAGTGAGAAGGGTGGAAGCAAGTTTTCTGTAAATACCAAAGCAAGCGGTAGTTTTTGACAAACCATTTATGGAGCCCTTCTTTGCCTAGGCTTTCCACACAGCATCCCCTGGAAGCTCACCATAACCAAAAGAGGTTTGCTTTGCAATGACAGTGTAACTGTTAGCCCACCTCACCTTTTTTTTTTTTTTTTTAAAGATTTTATTTATTAATTTGACAGAGAGAGACAGCGAGAGAGGGAACACAAGCAGGGGGAGTGGGAGAGGGAGAAGCAGGCTTCCCGCTAAGCAGGGAGCCTGATGAGGAACTCGATCCCAGGACACTGGGATCACGACCTGAGCCGAAGGCAGACGCTTAACGACTGAGCCACCCAGGCGCCCCTAGCCCATTTCACTTTTGAGAGAGTGAGGCACAGAGGCAAAGCGCTTTGGCTAAGGTACCGGGTGGAAGCAAAAGGAAAGACTTGGTTAGGAAGGAACTAGGATTTATTGAAGGGGCTTTCCTAGAGGTACTTCCCAATCATTCGTTCTTTCAGCCATTCTCTCGGCCTTTGCGCAAGCCTGCACTAAACGCCTGATGCGCCAGGTGCACAGTATAGCACTACAAAAGGGGTTAGGCTGTGGGGGTACCTGGGAAGATGGGGAAACGGGGGACGGAATATTTTTATAAAGAGAAGGGAATCGCATAGAGGCAGAGCTGGGCGGGGGCACGGTGAGTTGTTCATGTGATGGAACACTGGTGTTACTTTAAACACACGTGCTTGCTACATTGAAGACAGATCGAGCTGTTTCCCAGCACAGAGTGGGGTGCGGCCCCTCTCTCCCCTTAACTCGTAGGGGAGCTGAGACTTTGGGGAAGCGCGGTTCCCTGACTAGCTCATTTACATACCAGAACTCATATAGACACATGGGAACTAGTACCAGGAATATCTTTGAATAATGAAAATTAACCTTTTATAGCCTTGTCAGGAAAGCTTTGCCCAGTAAGGATATGCTTGAGATAATTCTCTGTCATGGAAGAAAAGCGTTTGCTGGTAGGTGCAAAGGCACCGCAAGTGTAGGGGGATCAGCCGGTATCTGGGACCAGGGCACAGGAGCTACATGTTGTTTTTCTCCATTTTAACTGGGTCTTTGGTAACAGATACCAAGAACCTTTTGTGGGAAAAAACACTAGAGAATTGGTAGTGCAATTTTTGGAGGCCTTACTTAGGGCTAAGTGTTGTCTGTGTCAAAGACAGATTCATAGGTTCATGATCTGACCGTGAAACAATATTGCTGTTTGAGATCTCAAGACTTTCTATGGTTGGGCAAAAGTGCCTTTTTTCTTTTTTTTTAAGTTAGTAAACATTGTTCTATCGTGTTAATTTTTTTTAAGAAAACAACTCGTTTAGAGTCCACGCATGAATGGAGGAAAGGCAGAGCCAGAGCATCTTTCAAACTGACTTCTCAGTGGGCCAGGAACATGAGGCAGCTGGATCCCACAACCCATGAGATCCTGATCCGAGGCGTAAACCAAGAGTCGATGCTTAGCCAGCTGAGCCTCCTGGGCGCCCCTTAAAGAATGTTTTGGGTCCCCTCCACCCCAGCAGTGGGTGGGGCAGGTGCAGACCCTGCACTACTGTGAGCCAACCCTACCATCTCACCCAGAGGGCTCATTTGCATATTCATGGGTGCCACCCCCAGTACTACATTTTCGTTTAAAACTGCACACTTCCCTATTTCCTTGGATCAACATGTCTTTTCCAAAAATCCCTTTCACAAATTTTCCTAGCAGGGTGCCGGTGGCACAGGAATAGACACCAGTCTTGGAGAACTGCAGTCAGTTATGGAAAGAGTGGCAAACATAGCTAAGTATACTGTGGTTTCTCTTCAGATTGCATATCTCACCTTTTACTAAAGATTTCCGTGGAGAGGAATGTTTGCAAGTTTGCCTTATTTCTGAGCTCAAAGGAAACGTTTCCAGTGTTTCATCTATTAGGTATGGCATTTGTTATAGTTTTTTGTAGATATCTCTTATTGGACAGACATTGTTTTCAAACTTTTTTCCTATTAAGATGATGTATGTGCATTCCTAGATGACATATTATCCTTGGCAAATGCTGCTAGATTGTTTGCTAATATTTTGTGTAGAGTTTTTGCAGCTATGCGGGTAAGATTGGTGTATAATTTCTCTTTTGCATGGTATCATTGATGGATTTTTATATTAAGATTAGGCTAACCTTAAAAAAAAGATTAGGCTAAACTTAGAAAATGAGTTGGGGTTTATATTCTCTTTTTCTAATCTTTTTTTTTTTTTTTTTAAAGATTTTATTTTTTAGAGAGCGAGCGAGAGAGAAACAGCATGAGAGGGGCAAGGGTCAGAGGGAGAAGCAGGCTCCCCGCTGAGCCGGGAGCCCGATTTGGGACTCAATCCCAGGACCCTGGGATCATGACCTGAGCCGAAGGCAGACGCTTAACCATCTGAGCCACCCAGGCGCCCGCTCTTTTTCTAATCTTGAGAAGAGTTTGAGTAAGACGAGAATTTTATCTTGAATTTTTTTTTTTAAGATTTTTCGGGCTCCTGGGTGGCTCAGTTGGTTAAGTGACTGCCTTCGGCTCAGGTCATGATCCTGGAGTCCGGGGATCGAGTCCCGCATCGGGCTCCCTGCTCAGCGGGGGGTCTGCTTCTCCCTCTGCCCTCTTCCCTCTCGTGCTCTGTCTCTCATTCTCTCTCAAATAAATAAATAAAATCTTTAAAAAAAAAGATTTTATTTATTCATTTGACAGGGGGGGGGGAGAGCAAGCACAAGCAGGGGGAGCAGAGGGAGAGGGAGAAGCAGGCTCTCTGCCAAGTAGGGAGGCCGATGTGGGGCTCCATCCCAGGACCCTGGGATCATGACCCTAGCTGGTGGCAGACGCTTAACCAACTAAGCCACCCAGGTGCCCCTATCTTGAATGTTTGATAGAATTCTCTAAAGCTGACTTTATGGGAAAAAAAATTACTGATTCATTTTCTTTAATGATTAGAGGACTATTTGGGTTTTCTCTTTCTTCATAAGTCCATTTTGGTAGGTTATAATTTCTAGCAGTTTTCATCTACATTTTCAAACATTGAAAAAAATTCATTATCTCATCTTTTTATCATTTTAATGAGTGTAGCATTTTTAGTGATGTCTTCTTTTATATTCTTCATATTGATTATGTGACTTTTCTCTTTTTGCATCAAATCCCTTTGCCCCCAAGTCCCATGGGGGTAACACACTTTGATGCCGGCTTGTGCAGTGGTGTGCACTACAATGAGAAACACAAGACCTGAATGTTACAGTCAGTAAGCATGCCTGCCTTTTGCTCTAAAGGGGGAAATGTCTTTATTTTCCAAAGCTGTTTGCTCATCAAGATCCTTGAAAAGATAGTTTGGGACAATGAGCAGTTGTTATTTCACTTAAAAGATATGCAGAAATGTGATAGACCTGTAGAGAATTGTCTCCTAGGATCATTTTTCTTTTGCTAGTAGTAATCCTTCAGTAGACATTCTTGCCTTGTTCCTGAACTCAGGGGCAAAGCATTCAATGCTTCACTATTTCTTTTTTAAAGATTTTATTTATTTGACAGAGAGAGAGACAGCAAGAGAGGGAACACAAACAGGGGGAGTGGGAGAGGGAGAAGCAGGCTTCCTGCTGAGCAGGGAGCCCGATGTGGGGCTCGATCCCAGGACCCTGGCATCATGACCTGAGCCGAAGGCAGATGCTTAATGACTGAGCCACCCAGGCATCCTCAATGTTTCACTATTAAGTATAATGTTAGCTGTAGGGTTTTGGTAGATGCTTTTTTTTTTTTTTTTAAATCAACTTGGGGAAGTTCTCCTCTAGTTCTATTTTCCTGAGGGTTTCCTGAGGGTTCATCAAAGGGTGCTGACATTGTCAAATGCATTTTCTGCATTGATTGATATAATAATGTGATTTTTCTTCTTTAGCCTGTTAACTTGGTAGATTAAATTGACTGATTTTTTGGATATTGAACAGCTTTGCATTCTGGGAATGAACCCCAATTGGTCATGGTGTATGATTCTTTTTATATATTGCTGAATTCTAATTGCTAATCTTTTGTTAAGGATTTTTGCATCTATATTGATGATGGATATTGATCTGTACTCTTCTTGTACTGCCACTGTCTGGTTTTGGTATTAGGGTAATACTAGCCTCATGAAAAAAATATTTTTAAAGATTTTATTTATTTATTTGCCAGAGAGATAGAGAGCGCAAGTAGGTAGAGTGGCAGGCAGAGGGAGAGGGAGAAGCAGGCTCCCACTGAGCAGGGAGGCCGATGTGGGACTTGACCCCAGGACCACGGGATCACGACTTGAGTCGAAGGCAGACGCTTAACTGACTGAGTCACCCAGGCACCCCACTAGCCTCATAAAATTAATTAGGAATTATTTCCTTCCCTTCTGTTTTCTAGAAATATAGAATTGTGTTCTATAAATGCCATTATACCCTGCTGGTTGATGATGTTG